GGCCAGGAGAGGCGTGTCCATGCCTGCCTGGCCAGGCCAGGAGGGCGTCTGCACCGTTCCTGAGCCCAGGATGGGCCTGGTCAGTGGCGGTCGACTTTTCATATTGAATATGTACGGGGTCCCCAGAAACCCCGACCCTTTCCTCCGGAGTCGCTTTTGGACGGCCCTGGGGCCCCAGAGAGGCCGAAACCTGCCAAAAAACCGGCCATTGTTGGGTTTGCCGGCTTGCGCACGTCTGGGTCTAGATTTCGTTGCACTACAGTCGAGGTTGATCAGTGGGTTCCCAGAGATCCGACGCTCTAAGGAGAATGGAGCGGCGGGTTTGGGCTGTTTTCGGCCTCTGGGGGCCCTCGCCGGGCCTCGGGACTGCCGAGGAACGACTCAGGACGGAAAACCGGCCCCGGGGAAGTGGTCCATACCTTTGGGGCCCACGCGTCGCAAGAATGGGAGCGGCTGGATGTCCGGGTCCAAGGGTGTACAGCCGGGGCTGATTCGTAGGGCGACCCTGCCGAATCAAGGGGACCCTTGTGTCCCGTGTTTCGCGACCCATGTTTTTCTGCCTTCTACGGCAATGTGGCCCTCGGAAGGGTTTTCTTGCCCTCCCTCGTGTGCCCTCTCCAATCAGCCCCGATCGTACCTCCAACGACCGACGACGCATTCCTCGTCCTCTTCTTCCTCCCTGGGCCCCCGGCGCCGGCGGAGCCCTCCCGCGGGGCAGGCGCCAGAGGAGGCCCCGGCGGAGGCCCAGAAGCAGGCGCCAGCAGGGCAGGGCCGTGGCCAGGGGAAGGGCCGCAGCGAGTCCGGCTGCTCCTCTCGGGGGGGGCGGGCGAACGAGTAGGATAGCGAAGGGCAGGGCAGGGCAGCAGCTCACGCAGCTGGTTTCCCTGGCGCGCCTCCTGGCGCTGGGAGGCGCCCATGCATCGAGGAATGGGCCCGGCGGCGGGGCGGAAACCAACTGCATGTGCAGCAGATTTCGTATCCCCCCCCATTCCCCATTCTACCCTGTCGTCCAGCCCGATCATCTTCCACTAGGCCACCCCCATCGAAGAAATTCGCGCGGACCTCCGAAAGTTTGTGTGAATGATTTTTTTTTGCCCTAGGTCAGGAGAGAAAAGAACACACATACACAAAGAATCGTCGACTCCCTGGAAAATGGAAAATGGGGAAAAGACGAAGGGAAGACGACGGCCAAGAAAAACCTTCCAAAAACCTGTTGCGGAGGATTTTGGGAGTTTTTTTTGGCCAACCCCTTTTGTATTCTTCGTGACGACGGTTTTTGGACGGTTTTTTGGAAGGTTCCGGGAATCCTGGATTCTTCGCGACGAGGGTTTTCGGAAGGTTTCTTTTTGGAAGGTTCCAGGAATCCTGGTTTCTTCGCGACGAGGGTTTTCGGAAGGTATTTTGTTGTAATGTTTTTTTTTCGAAAACCTTACAAACATCCTCCAACAACGTTCTAATCAACCTCACAAACAACTTCTCCAAACAGTGTTTCAACTAACCATCCCAAACACCTTCCAAAAACATTCGCGATTTTGGAAGGGTTTTTGGAAGGTTCTGGGAATCCTGGATTCTTCGTGGCGAGGGTTTTTGGACGGTTTTTTTCGGGGGAGGTTCAAGGAATCCTGGATTCTTCGCGACGAGGATTTTAGGAAGGTTTTTTTTTTGTTTTTCTTTCTTCTTCAGAAAATCCTTCCAACAACCTTCTAAACAACCTTAGAATCCAGAATTCCCGTGACCTTCGAAACAAAACCTTCCAAAAACCGTCGTCGCGAAGGTTTAGGAAGGTTTTTTTGGCCAACCCCTCCTTGACTCTTCGTGACGAAGGTTTTCGGAAGGTTCTTTTTTGGAAGGTTTTTGGAAGGTGTGAAGGTTTTTTTGGTTTTTTTTTTTTGCTTTCCTGGTTTTTCTAATGCATTGGACGGTTCCGCTGAGCTTTGGAAGATTTTTTGAAGGTTTTTGGAAGGTTTTTTAGAAGGTTGTTGGAAGGTTTTTGGGCGGATTTTTGGCAGGTTGTTTAAAGTTTTTTTGGTGGAAAAACCTTCCAACAACCTTGCCCCCCTCCCCCCTCCCAGGACAACTTTTTAGAACACCTTCCTCGCGAAGAATCCAGGATTCTTCGTGACGAGGGTTTTTGCACGGTTTTTTGGAAGGTTCCAGGAACCCGCCCGCCCGACCCGAACCGCCCGTCCGGGTCCGACCCTGTCCGACCCGACCCGCCCGTTAGGGTCCGCCTGACCCGACCCGACCCGCCCGGGGCCGCCCGACACGACCCGTCCCGCCCCGACCTGATCCGTTAGGGTTCTCGCGGGTCGCTTCGTTGATGCATCATATTTTGATGTCCCGCCGACCCGGATCGACCCGCCCGTTAGGGTCCGACCTGACCCGACCCGCCTGTCAGGGTCTGCCCGACCCGACCCGCCCCGTTCCGACCCGACCCGTTAGAGTTCTTGCGCGTCCATTCGCGAATGCATCATACTTTAATGTCCCGCTCGGCCTACCCCCTCGGCCTACCCTAGGCCTACCCTGGGCCCACCCCTAGGCCTACCCCTAGGCCTTCCCCTAGGCTTACCTAGGTCTACTCCTAGGCCGTTCCCTCAGGCACACCTCAGGCTTACCCCCCCAGGCGGCCCGCCCGACCCGACCGACCCTTTAGGGTCCTCCCGAATCGACCCGACCCGCCCGTTAGGGTCCGCCCGACCCGACCCGCCCCGCCCGTTAGGGCCCGCCCGACCCGACCCGCCCCGTTCCGACCCGACCCGTTAGAGTTCTCGTGTCCATTCGCGAATGCATCATATTTTAATGTCCCGCTCGCCTGGCCCGACCCGCCCGTTAGGGTCCAACCCGACCAGGCCCGACCCGCCCGTGGGGGTCCGCCCGACCCGTCCCGACCTGACCCGCTAGGGTTCTCGCGTGTCCACACGCACATGCATCATACTATTACGGTACCGAGGAACCCCACATACATATATTTTGGGTGGAGTGATGACAGTTGGAGTGAAGCATGTGAGGATTATGTTGGTGGCCGTTGCCACCCCCTGCGCTTCCCGATGGTGTCAAGAAAAGGCCACGCCTGCAATGCACTGGACGACCGTCGTGCATAGCGGCCGCGCTGAGGGACCACCCCCTGCGCACCCCCTATGGGGTCAAGAAAATGCCACGCCTGCTATGCCCTGGACGACCGTCGTGTATAGCGGCCGCGCTGAGGGACCACCCCCTGCGCACCCCCAATGGTGTCGAGAAAATGCCACGCCTGCTATGCCCTGGACGACCGTCTCGGATAGCGGCTGCGCACAGGGACCACCCCCTGCGCACCCCTTATGGTGTCGAGAAAGTGTCACGCCTGCTATGCCCTGGACGACCGCCTCGGATAGCGGCCGCGCTCGGGGACGCCTGCTATGCCCTGGACGACCGTCTCGGGTAGCGGCCGCGCTCAGGGACCACCCCCTGCGCACCCCCAATGATGTCGAGAAAGTGCCACGCCTGCTATGCCCTGGACGACCGTCTCGGATAGCGGCCGCGCTCATGGACCACCCCCTGCGCACCCTCTATGGTGTCGAGAAAGTGACACGCCTGCTATACCCTGGACGACCGTCTCGGGTAGCGGCCGCGCTCAGGGACCACCCCCTGCGCACCCCCAATGATGTCGAGAAAGTGCCACGCCTGCTATGCCCTGGACGACCGTCTCGGATAGCGGCCGCGCTCAGGGACCACCCCGTGCGCACCCCCTATGGTGTCGAGAAAATGCCACGCCTGCTATGCCCTGGACGACCGTCTCGGATAGCGGCTGCGCACAGGGACCACCCCCTGCGCACCCCCTATGGTGTCGAAGATTCAAGAGGCCAAATGATGCCCCAAGAGGCTCCAGGAGGCCCCAGGAAGCTCCAGAAGGCCGGCCTCAGGAGGCTTCAGGATGCTCCAGGAGGCCACAGGAAGCCACAGAAGGCCCCCAGAGGCCACAGGAAGCGCCAGGAGGCACTAGGATGCCGCTGAAGGCACCGGGAGGCCCCAAGAGGCTACAGGAGCAGGAGTGGCTCCAGTCCCATGTGTTGTACGTATGCTCCTATAGATTGGGACCCCCCTGGAGCACGAATCCTTTATGTGTTTTGAGTATGTTTCTATATATTGTCCGTCCCCTGTGTATCCAATCCTAATTGTTTTACGTAGGTCCCGATCGATGTGGCCTCTCCTGGTGCACGAGTCCTGGGTGTTTTACATGTGCTCATATATTTCCCTTCTCCTGCCGCTCCAATCCGCAGTGTTTTATGTACGTCTGTTCCTGTAGATTGGGCCTCTCCTGGGGCACGAATCCTCCCAGGAGGCCCCAAGAGGCTCCAGGAGGCTCCAAGAGGAGGCCCCAGAAGGCCGCACGAGGCTCCAGGAGGCCCCAAGAGGCTCCAGGAGGCCCCAGGAAGCCCCAGGAGGTTTCAGGAGGCCCCAGGACGCCCCAGGACGCCCCAGGCTCATGCGCAGAGACGCGCTCGTACTATTGAGACTCATTCACACTCCAACTCATTCACAATCAGAGCCACTCCCAGACAGTAAATACTCAATCCCGTTTACATTTGAAAACTTTTGCGCCTAGACACTCACGGCGGACAGGTCCATGCTAAGAGATGCACATTTGGGGAGCTCCACGCAGTGAATAATTTGACTACGTTTGACTATTCTTGAAAACGTTTCGCCCCGAATCCGCTTGTAGGAGGACATGCCCGACCTAATCCTAGCCCCCCCTTGTCGTCTGACCTGGCCGTCGTCTGCGACGGCGAGAACTTGCAGAGACCCCCGAAGCGAAGGCGTCGACGTCGGCCCCCAGACTGGCCTGTTATCTCAGGAGGCTGGTCGACGGCGTGGGAGGGGGGCGGGGCGCCTGCTCGTCGCCACCGCCGCGGGGCTCGCCCCAGGTCGGGGCCAGAGCGCGTCCCTCTCCAGAAGAGCTCTTGGGGGCTCGACCTCGTAGGGGAGGCACTCCGAAGTCGTCGCAGTCGACGGCGACGGCGACAACGACGACGACGGCGGCGGCGGCGACGACGATGACGTCGTCGACGACGACGACGGAATCCCAGGATGTTGGTTGATCCCCAGAGGACGAACATAGATGAACACCTTCCGTCGTGGTTTCTTTCCGGCGCGAGCCTGGGCCTGGGTCCTCCCCTCGCCCCTCGCCCGCGCGCGGTGCCTCCGGAGGCCACCGCGGCGAGCGACCTTAAGGCGCCTTCCCCCCTCGCCCTCGCGGAGGAGGATCCTGGAGAGGGGTCGAGGATTGGAGGGGAGGAGATGATTAGAGGCCTCGAACTCTCGACCCTCGAATCCTCGAAACCTTCGAGTCGTCGAGTCCCTCGAACCCTCGAGCTTCGTGTCCCGGCGCCCTCGAGTCCTCGAGCCCTCGGCCCCTGGAGGCCTCCCGAGGCCTGGGGCCTCTCCTCGAACTCTCGAGGCCTCGGGGAGGGGTCGAGGATCGGGGGAGGACCGAGGGGCGAATCGAGGAGAGGATAACAGAAGGGGAGGAGGAGGAGGAGGAGGAGGAGGAGGAGGAGGAGGAGGAGGAGGAGGAGGAGGAGGAGGAGGAGGAGGAGGAGGAGGAGGAGGAGGAGGAGGAGGAGGAGGAGAGGAGGAGGAGGAGGAGGAGGAGAGGAGGGAGAGAGGAGGAGGAGGAGGAGGAGGAGGAGGAGGAGGGAGGAGGAGGAGGAGGAGGAGGGAAGGAGGAGGAGAGAGGAGGAGAGGAGGAGGAGGAGGAGGAGGAGGAGGAGGAGGAGGAGGAGGAGGAGGAGGAGGAGGAGGAGGAGGCAGGCTCGAGAAGAGGGTCGGAGCCGCCTCAGGCCGCGCGTTGGGCCCCCGCGGAGGCTCTCTCTCTCTTGGGCCATTCTCGGAGCCTTCTTGGGGCTGCCCTCGGCCGCCTGGGGATCATCTTCTGGGATGTGCGAACGTGGGTACGTGAGACATGTAGGTGACACTGGTGCTCGTGTGAGAGGCTTGCTAGAGTGTATGCGTGCGTGTGTACCATGGCCACTGTTGATCAGACAGGCGCGTCGCCCTGGGGAAGCGCGAGCGCCCTCGATCGCTGCAGCGGGCCGAGAGAGAAAGCTCATACTCCACTCGCGGTCGGATTCGCAGTGGCTGGAGCCATACAGCGAGTGTGATGAGCAGTGGACGATCAGGAGATCACCACGATGACGGAGAGCAACGGGAGCGCCAGTCAGAAGCGCTTCAGTGGGGACGGCAATGACGGTGCGGCAGCCTACAAAGTATGGAAACGGTGGGCGAAGGCAGCGATTGGGATGCAGAAGGCGAAAGGCACTCCTGAGGAGGCGATTGGCCCATGGTTGTACGCTCTTCTGGACGGGCAGGCGGCGCTGGCGGCAGAGAACGTAGACCTGGCGGGGATCAACGCCCAGTTGGGAGAGGAGCTGGTGTTCGAGCGTCTCGACGAGAGATTTCCCGACACAGTTGCCGCGGACCGTCTCGGGGAGGCGATGGAAGAGGCGTTCATTCTCAAGATCCGGAAGCAGGAGACCAGGAGATGACGGAGGCATACACGGGTCGTGCTCAGCTGGTGTACGCCCGGCTGTCCAAGGAGGGCGTGGACTTTCCGCCAGTGGCGAGAGGATATCTGATACTGCGAGGTGACTAGGGAGTTTTGGCCGAGCCACGATGATGTCGGCGACTCACAGGAGTTGGCAGGTGGAAGAGGTGTGTACGGCATTGAGGGCGGCATTCTCCGGAGTCCCGCCGGAGAGATTCACGCAGGCCACATATGATGCGGTGGAAGAGGAGCACGGCGAAATCGATTGCCCGCCGGTACCGGAGCCCTACCAGGACGAGGGTGCGGAGGACGATGTCGCCCGGGAGATTGACGCGATCGTCCAGGCGGCGGAACCAATCGACGAGTCCGATGCAGTGGAGATCCTGGCGACATGGAAGCAGACGACGGAGGCCATGAGCAAGGAGAAGCTGGACCGAGGTCTGCGACCCGGATGGAAGCCGAGACGCCCAGGAGCTGGAGGCTCAACGCGTCAGGATCTGTGCTCGAGCAGACGTCGTTTTTGTCAGTAGGGCCGGGTCGGAGCCCACAGGCCAGAATAATGGTGGCGGAACTATTCCCCCCACCGAGGATCGTGCCAGTAACGGTGAAGGCAGGATTCCAGAAAGGAAAGAGTCTGGATAAGCCGAGTGGGTGGGACGTCAACCGGGTCGACGACTACAACGCGATGTGGAGGCACATCGTCGAGGGTGAGCCTTGCTGGGTGCGCGTGTGCCCCCCGTGCAGCAAGCTTTCGATGTTACAGCGGCGCGCACATTTGGAGTGGCGAGTGAACATGACCCAACACGTGTCGGACTTGAGATGGACGTTGACTTCAGTGTATGTGGTCGTGGAGGTGCGATTTTGGAGCTGGGGCGAGGCAGGCATGTTCTGTGTGAGACCCCACCGCGATGCGCGAGCCTGCAAGTACTGTTGATGAAGCAGTTGCTGCAGCTACCAGGGGTATATGTGGGTGTGGCGAGCGGATGCGCGTTCGGTCTACGCTTCCCAGACACGCTCAAACTGATGCCGTAGAGCTAGGGGGTCTGTGACGTCGGCGCCGGAGGTGGCCCGGGTAGTGCACAGAAGGTGCAGCGGAGGACATGAGCACCAACGCCTTGAGGGCATGCTCAAGTGCGGGATCGAGAGGTCGGTGTACAGCCAGCGGTATCCCGTGAGTATGGTAGAGGCAATCGTTCGAGGCACGCGACGTCAGAGCCGAGCAGAAACATCGGGCAGTGTGGCGAGGTGCTGGGAGGTGCAGGACGAGCACGAGGAGGTTGAGGAGGGCGCCAACGAGACGAGATGTCCTGCGTGTGCCTCGCAGCTCCATCCAGAACGGCCTCAGGAAGCTACGCGTGCAACTCGGCCACTGCCTAAGTAATGTACTGGTGCGTCATATTAGATATGCGCATGCCGCGGAGCAGGCGATCAAGGCAGCATGCGAGTACCATCGTCCAGAGTGTGAGGAGATGAAGTATTCGAAGGTGGCGCGAAACAGCACTTCGGCTGAGGCCCGCCTTCCACTCGAGTATTCGGGCATGGGCTGCAAGGATATGCCGGGGTGGATTGCCGGAGAACGGATCACGTGCTTGGGCGTCATCGACGGGGCAAGTTCACTGCGCCAGGTGGAGCCGATGATGGCCATGGTGGAGACGTCGAAGAATCTGACTGACACATGCAGTCAAGCATGGAGTCGGCCCAATATGCGACCGAAGTGGATAAGGGTGGACCCGCGTCGAGCCCGAGTGGGCGATGAGTTTGCCAGCGGGGGCCGACGTCAAGGGATCGAAGTGGTGGGCGCGGCGGGAGGTGCGACGGAGCATTATGGCAAGCTTGAACATCGCAACCAGCTGTTCGAGAGGATGCTGGAAGGCGTCATCCGGGAAGCGCAGCCCCAGACGGAGATGGAGTGACGGGAGTGCGTGACGGAGCTAGTCCTGGCCACGAACAGCCTCCTGTCGGTGACAGGAACGTCTCCGATGCAGATCGTGTTCGGCCGCGACCCAGAGGTGCCGAGGTACCTACTGCAGGGCGACCCAGACAAGATTGCCAATGGTGCGATCGTGAACGACCCGGTGGCAGTTCAGCAGGCGCGGATCAGGGCCATCGCTCGCATGAGCGTGCTCATGCAGCGAGATAAGTTGACGACGAGGCGAGCGTTGGAATCCCTCCCGAGAGTCGTGGTCAAGTACCAGCCGGGCGGCGTCGTTGCGGTATGGCGCACGGTGCGGAACAAGGGTGTCTCAGGCAAGCGAGCGCGTCGTCGTTGGCGGCCTGGTCTCTGCGTGGGCGAAGTGCGCGGCAAGTATTGGGAGTCGTTGCCGGGGGCAGTGGAGATGCGTCGCCAGAGCAGATGACCGGCCGTGAGAGAGGAGCGTCGCGCCTGGCGCCTGGTGGAGGCAGAGTTACGGACCACGATGGTCGACCTGGAGCATTACAGTGGCCAGAGGTTCGAGGACATCACGGGGGGTGAACGACCGCTCGAGACGGAGGTGGCAGAGGAGATCCCCCCTACCCCTGGAGCTCCCGAGGAACCGCTTGACGAGAAAGAAGATGACTGGCCAGGCGCTGGAGGCGGAGGGGAAATTGAACGCCCAACGGGGCGGAGACGGCTGCGCGGGAAGCCGACCGTGGACGAGCGGACTCTGGACGACGCTCACGAGCCCGAGGGGTGCCCGATGGCAGAGGGCGCGGAGATCCCAGAAGATCCCAAGAGACCGAGGTTGGAGGAGCAGACCAGGGGCGAAAAGTCGAGTGGAGACCCGGGCGAGAGACAGACAGCAGATTGGTGGTATCGCGCGCCCTCCAAGCTTGCCGAGCCCACCGCTCGTCGACTCAGCAGACGCCTACCTGGCAGGGGACACGGGCGAGAACATCGTCGTGGGAAGGTGAACCTGCCGCTCGCGCAGCGGAGCAAGGATATCAACCTCAAGGATGAGAGGTGGAAGTCAGTGAAGGGCAGGGTGATGATCGAGGAGGCTTACGAGAATGAGGTGGGAAGCCTGGTGCGCGAAACCAAAGCCTGGAGGCCAGTGGACTTGGAAACGTCGAGGCTTCTGAAGACCCAGGCGCCAGAGCGCATTTTTCGCCCGAGACCAGTCCTGACGCTGCGAGCTGGAGACAGTGGCGAGGACGAGGTCAAGTGCCCGTGTGCGCTACAGGGTTTCAAGGGCCCAGACATCCTGGATCTGGTGCGCGAAGGGCGTACGGCATGTCCTGCCATGTCTACCAACGGTCGTGTCATGCTGCTGCAGACCTTGGCATCGTGCATGCAAGTTCGAGATGACGATCGGGAACGTGAAGTCAGCTTTCCTTGTGGCAGGGCCGGAAGAGCGCCCGAATGGGCCGGTATACGTGACGATGCCGAAGGATTGCACGCTGAAGGTTCATCTCCCCGAGCAGTTGTTTGAGGTGATCAACGTGTATGGGCTGGGAGATCAGCCCCAACAGTGCTGGCGTACGTTCGAGCGGTTCATGGTGGAGGAGCCGCATTTCGACCAGCACCCGATGGACCCGTGTGTGTTCTCGCTGAGGGTGTCCGTGGAGAAGGAGAGCGCCCGCCTTGTGGCCGGAGACCGGATGTCGGTCATCCCGTGCGCCACGGGGCTTGCGAGTGCTCAGCTCCGAGACGAGCCTTGCGCCCTGTGCGGGATTCTCGGAGTGCATTTTGATGATCGGGTCAATGTTGGCCGTGGGTTGCTGTAGACCAGTGCGATTGAAAAGTTGCGAGAGAGGTTTCCCTTTCGGAAGTGGGTGACGGTCAGTGGGGAGTTCACGGGATCGGTCCCTACTCAGAGAGCCGACTACTCGATCGTCCAATCGCAGTCGGAGTGCACGAAAGCGATCAGTCCAGCTAAGGCTCGAAGATCAGCCCGAGACCCGATGATGTGGCCCAGCCGTTCGAGGTGCACGACCATATCTCGACGACCCAGCAAGTGAACTGGCTTGCAGGCCAGACGCGGCCGGGCCTAAGTTGCCAGATCTCGCTTTCGCAGCAGATCATGCCCAACCCTGCAGTCGGCCAGAACAGAAGATCGAACGTGTGGTATCGGAGGGCGAAGCAGTTTCAGGAGATCTCGGTCACGTTCCTGAGTATCCCCCCCGACCGTCTTCTTTTCGCGTGCCAGTCGGATTATTCGCCGAAAGATCTGGGTGGGGCTGGGACGGCGCGGGGTGGGTGCATCATTGGTGCGACGGACCCCTCCATGGCAAAAGGGATGTTGGCCCCCGGTGCCCTTGAGTTTGGAAGTCTCAGAAGATCATGCAAGGGTGTGCGTCTGCATTGGCGGGGGGGGGGCAAGCTCCTGAAGGCCTCGTTGGGTCACCTCGAGTGGATCACGTGCGCTCTCGCGGCTGCCCTGTTTCCCATGTTTTGTCTGGAGAACCGGGGCGCATGCTCTAAGAAGCTCTCGGCGCGCGGCGCGATATATTGCAAGTCCGTAGTCGACCACGTGACCAAGACGGGGGCTCCGACAGGGCTCGACGACAAGAAGGCTTCAAACTATCGCCGTAGCCAAAGGGGGCCCCAGGATACTCGGAGGGGTGCTCAGGCGGGGTCCGACAGAGCTCATGCTAGGAGATGCCCCAACGAAAGATCGTGCACAGGCGGCAGATGTGTTGCGAGCATGTCTAAGAGCGTCGGCGTACCATCTAGGAAATGAGTCCGTCACCTTGGCTAAGGTTCAAGCCGAGAAGGCGGTCCCTGCTGCCAGCCGTGCAGGAGTTCCCAGTTCCCCTCCGGGTTTGAGCGACGGTGAAGTTCGCGGTGCGCGGGCGGGGTGACCAGGCCAGAGCGTTCATGTTCGGGCTGGCAGACGTGTGCCCCGATGAGTCCACGACCGAGATAGTCCCGACCAGGGTCAAGGTGAGAGTGCCGGCGAAGGTGGCGCTGGCGGAAGTGCCCGCCCCGAACGGCAATGTGCGAGTAACGCTGCGGTGCGCGTCCAAACGCGATGGGCGTGCAGGTGATGGCAGTCGCAGCGCTGGGGGGCGAGATGTGCGATCAGGCGGTGAAACTCGAGCGAATGTACGTGGCGTGGCAGGAAGCGCCAGTCGACTCGAAGCCCAGGATGGAGTTGAAGTGCCCAGCGGTGGAGTTCTTCCTCGCCAAGACCGAGGCGCCCATCGAGAAGCAGCAGGGGGGCGCCGCAGGCAGGCGAGGTGCACCGACGGACGGCGGCGACGCAGAAGCGATGAACGCCGCCATGGAGAGTGTCGCCCAGTCGCTGGCTCCCTACCCGATCGTGCGAGATCGAGTCTTGGAGACACTGAAGGAGTTCATGCCGGAGAAGAACCAGGCGCCAGAGGAGGAAAGCTCGAGGGCCCCAGGCTCGGGCTGAACGATGAGTGGAGAGACGAAGAGCTCAGGGCAGTGAGGAGCACCAGAAAAAAGATAGAATACCAGTGCGAACGTGGGCACGTGAGTCATGTAGTTGACACTCGTGCTCGTGTGAGAGGCTTGCTAGAGTGTATGTGTGCGTGTGTACCATGGCCACTGTTGACCAGACAGGCGTGCCGCCCTGGGGAAGCGCGAGCGCCCTCAATCGCTGCAGCCGGCCGAGAGATAAAGCTCATGCTTCATTCGCGGGCGGATTCGCAGGACGTGAGGGCGGGCCCGCCCTGTGCGGCGGTCAGCGGGGCCAGCCGGCGCTGCCGCCGTGCCGAGGGCCGGCGCGCCCCGCCGTTCCGAGGGCTGGCGCGCCCCGCCCCGCCGAGGGTTTTGCTATTCCCATCGTGCTTGAGGACCACATCCCAGACATAAGCTCGAGCACCCAGAAAGGTATCGAAGCAGCGTGTGCCCGAGACGATTGCGAAGTGTCACATGGCAATCGCCTCAAGTTTCCGTACTTAACCTGATGCTCGACAGTCTCTTTTGAGTGATCAAGGCTACAGTAGGTCGGAGCATCATAAGCAGATTTTTTCCTCAACCCAAGTATTTGTATTTTGCATATATATATATATATATATATATATATATATATATAATATATATATATATATATATATATAAAAGTATGTGTTAGTGTATATTTGTGTATTCGAATACAAAGAACAACACATTAATAATTACAGAGGCACGAAGCAGATGTCGAAGAAGGTAAAACGCCCCCAAGACCGCCCCAAGACATGTCAAGAGGCTTCCAGGAGAGCCCCAGGACGGCCCAAGAGGGTTCCACGACGCCCCATAAGGGCCCCAGAGGGGGAGCACGACCCTCAAATTCGAGTTTTCCGCCCCAAGAAGCCCCCAGGAGGCCCCAATATAGTCTCTCAGGAGGCCTCACGGGGCCCTGCTCCGCCACGAAGCAAACGTCGAAGAAGAACACTTGCGGAGCTCCGCGCGGACTTCTTGGATCCTGCGCTGGGCCTAAAGGGAACGTGCTTTCAAGTTTTTTGACCTTTTCGGGCTCCTGGGGCTCTCCACAGGCCCCGGGGCCGTCAATGAAATGGCTCAGGGTGAAGAGCTGGTCCTGGGAAAAAGGCTGCGTGACTCCAGCACCCGTTTGCCAGTTTCTTTCTTGGAACCAAGTTTGTTTTTTTTGTTTTTTTTGTTTTTTTGTTTTTCTAAAACATATAAAAAACAAGCAAAAACCTTCTGGCGAGAACGGGCGTTGCCCCAGCCAGGGAGGCTTCGGTCATGCGCCACGATTTGCGCTGGCGCCGTCCTGGGATTGTGCAGCCGTTCCCCGACTGCGTCGGCGCGAACCGTGATTTTGTGGGGGGAGAGGACGGGGGTAGGCAGCCTGGGCAACGCTCGTGGCGTTATCCCGAGTAGTTTAAGTATGAGACCGGCTTTCTCTCTCACACACTCTCTCTCTCTCTCTCCCTCTCTTTCGTTGTTTGTTTGTATGATTGTCTGCCTGCCTGCCTGTCAGCCTGCCTGTCTGCCTGCCTCTGTTTGCCTGTCTCTGTCTGTCTGTTTGTCCGTCCGTCCGTCTGTCTGTCCGTCTGTCTGTCTGTGCTGTCTCTGTCTCTGTCTCTCTCTCTCACGTTCATACATTCTCTCCTCTTCCTCGTATCGCTGACGAGAAAAGGGATTCGTGACTTGTGCCGAACGCCCCCCACGCGTACTGCGTGTGTTCGCGCAAGATCGGAGGATGCGCAGGGGGAGAGTGGTGCATGCGCGATCCCCTCGTCCATGTTTTCTTATCCCGTCGCTCCTGCTCCCCTCTTGCTCCCAATCGTGTCCCCTTCCCGTTCCTCTGCCGCGTCTTCTGGCACCTCGTCCTTCTATTATCGAGCGTTGCCGTGCCAGGCGCTCCAAAACAAGACCGAGGAGTCCCCTGTGTTCCAGCAGAAGGCGCCCCCCCCACCATCTCCACCACCATTGGAGCGGCGGCAGAGGAACAGGGGGAGGATGAAGGCCACGAGGGGCATGAGGAGGGTGAGGAGGAGGAGGAGGAATAGGAACAGGAGGAGGAGGAAGAGGAGGAGGAGGAGGAGGAGGAGGAGGAGGAGGATGAGGAGGAGGAGGAGGAAGGAGGAAGGTGGAAGGAGGACCTATGAGGAGAAGGACTTGTTTTTCCCAACCATCCTGTGGTGTTGGGTCCTCGTTTTGAAGAGACGGTCCCCGCTTTCTCCTCCTCCTCCTCCCGCCTCCCCCCTCCTCCCCCTCACCCTCCTCCCTCGTCCCTGCGTTTCACCCGCCCAATGCAGCGTTTCGTGGCCCCGAAGGGGGCTCCACCGAAGGCCCCAATGGGACCGCCCGCATGCGTCAGCCACCACCCAGTACAGCGTTTCGTGGGCCCATAGGGAGCTCCATCGAAGGCTCCGGTGGCACCGCCCGCATGCGTCAGCCACCACCCAGTACAGCGTTTCGTGGCCCCATAGGGAACCCCACCGAAGGTCTCAGTGGGACTAGCCACCACCCCACATTGCGTTTCGTGACCCCATATGGGGGCTTCACAGAAGGCCCCAGTGGCACCGCCCGCATGCGTCAGCCACCACCCAGCAAAGCGTTTCGTGGCCCCCTAAGGGGGCTCCACCGAAGGTCCCAGTGGGACCGCCCGCATGCGTCAGCCACCACCCAATACAGCGTTAAGGCCCCAGTGGCACCGCCCGCATGCGTCAGCCACCACCCAGTACAGCGTTTCTCGGCCCCATAGGGAGCTCCACCGAAGGCCCCACTGGCGCCGCCCGCGTGCGTCAGCTACCACCCAGCTCAGCGTTTCGTGGCCCCATAGGGAGCTCCACCGAAGGTCTCAGTGGCACCGCCCGCATGCGTCAGCCACCACTCAGTACAGCGTTTCGTGGCCCCATGAGGAGCTCCACCGAAGGCCCCAGTTGCACCGCTCACATGCGTCAGCCACCGCCCAACACAGCGAATCGTGGCCCCGAAGGGGGCTCCACCGAAGGCCCCAGTGGCAACCCCTGCATGCGTCAGCCACCACCCAGCACAGTGGTTCGCGGTCCCATAGGGGGCTCCACCGAAGGCCCCGGTGGGACCGCCCGCATGCGTCAGCCACCACCCAGTACAGCGTTTCGTGGCATCATGGGTAACTCCACCGATGGTCCCAGTGGGACCGCCCGCATGCGTCAGCCACCACCTAGCACAGCGTTTCGTGGCCCCGTGGGGAGCTCCACAGAAAGACCCCAGTTGCATCGCCCGCATGCGTCGTCCACCACCCAGTACCATTTCGCGGCCCCAAAGATTGGGAGCTCCGCCAAGCCCCGGCGGCACCGCCCGCATGCGTCCACCCCACCATGTACAGCGTTTCGTGGCCCCGTAAGGAGCTCCAATGGCCCGCCCGCATGCGACCCCCCACCTAGTACAGCGTTTCGTGGGCCCATAGTGAGCTCCACCGAAGGCCCCAGTGGCACCGCCCGCATGCGCCCCCCCCTCCTGTGGCCCGATAGGGAGCTCCACCGATGGTCCCATTGTGACCGCCCGCATGCGTCAGCCACCACCAAGCTCAGCGTTTCGTGGCCCCATAGGGAGCTCCACAGAAAGACCCCATTCGCATGCGTTTTCCCCAAACCAGCACAGCGTTTCGTGGCCTCATCGGGAGCTCTAGCGAAGGGCACCGCCCGCATGCGTCAGCCACACCCACTACAGCGTTTCGTGGCCCCATAGGGAGCCTCACCGAAGGCCCCAGTTGCACCGCCCGCATGCGTCTCCCCCACCCATTACGGCACGTCCCTCACGCGTTTCGTGGCCCCATAGGGAGCTCCACCGAAAGGGGCACCCACAACGCGTTACTCACAACTGCATATGGTTTGGTCTTTCGCCAGGATAATTTTAAGGTCTGGGCGAGAATATCGGTGATCGGTCCTCTCCCTCCACCCCCCAGAACACGTCACGCTATTTTGCTCACATTTGCAAAGATGTCCTACGGATTCTTCGATGATGACCTAAGATTTCCAGCAGCCCCCCGCCGTGATGTGAGCGGGGAGGACGAACCCCCCCCCCTTTCCCGATCACGCCCGTTATCGCGAATCATCAAGAACAGGCTCAAGGAAAGGGAGGCACATGACCATGATGGAGGACGGGAAAGCCGGGATACAAAGGGAGGGTGGAGGAATAGACTGGAGAGTAAGCCAGAGGAGGGAGCAGGACGGCGGGAGGCCAAATGTGTGTGTGTGTGTGTGTGTGTGTGTGTGTGTGTGTGTGTGTGTGTGTGTGTGTGTGGGGGGTGAACAGGGGAGCCGCCGTTCACAGCACGGAGCGGGCTACCGGGAAGCCGTCGACAGCGCCCACAAGATCGCCAGCGATCGATTTACCGATTATTGTCGAAGACGAGATCCAGATGCACAACGGGTGCTGCCAGCGTGGCAGAGTACATCAAGTCGCAGGGCGCGACAAAGACCACACCAGCCCAGGACGCCTTGGCGTACGATTCCCCTTCCAGGAACTTTTTCCATCTTTCGGTGGCGAGCCCAGGGGGGACGTGAGAAGGGGCAGGCCTTCGCAGCAGGCTCGGAAGTCCCCCGACCTTCCGAGAAGTTTCCTAAGCCTTCCGCGAAGACACGCAAAACTTCCAGAGGGTGGTGGGGCTTCAGAGAAGCTCCGCCGCCCTCCGAGTAGACCTTCTCCTTCTCACTTTCCCCCCCCTCGCTCGCCGCCGAATCTCCTCCTCCCGCCTCCCTCCCTCCTCCTTCCCTCTTGCCTCGTACCTCTTGCCTGCCTTCACTGGCCGCCTGCCACCCGTCTCTTACCTGCCTCCTGCTACCTCGGGTCTGCCTCTCGGGCGTCTCTCGCCTCACCCTCCCCGGGGGCTGCTAGCACCGCACCCGTCGCCATTGTCGCGAGCTCCCAGAAGGTCCAGGGGAGCGACGTCTGAAAGGCAACAAGAAGCGGCCTTTCTGGGCGCTGCCAGCTGCGGCGCAAGTGTTACCAGTTTCGGGAACTCCTGGCAGGCCCAGCGGAGTGTCGGCGGTACGCGGGCCACAGGAGACTACGCCCGTCTTTCTTGGGGGCTGCCAGCGCTGCATTTGTCACTTTTTTTATCTCTTGGCAGATCAGCGCAGTGAGGCCTTGCATACATGGACCCAAACAAGACCTCGCCCTACCTGGGGGCTGTCAACGACGCAATTGTCGCCACGTTTGCGAGCAACTCTCGCCAATTTCGTCAGCTCCTGTGGGGTCAAGCAGAGTAGGGCCTCATGCAGACACAAACGAGACCTCACAATCTCTGGGCGGTGCCAACTTAGCAACTGTCGCCACTTCCATGAGCTCCCAGGAGGTCCATATTGAGTGGGGTGGGGCCTTACGCTTACGCGGATTCCAGCCAGACCTCGCCCCTCCTGGGAGCTACCAGCGCCGCAGTTGTCGTCTTTTTCGTGGGCTCCTTGGAGGTCCAGCGGGGTGGAGCTTTACGCGGGTCCGAGCGAGACCTCGCCCTTCCTGGGGGCCACCATCGCCGCACCTGTCGCCACGTTCGTGACCTCCCGGGATGTTCAGCTGAGCAAGGCCTCGCGCGGACCCGAACGAGACCTTGCCCTCCCTGGGGGCTGCCAGCGCCGCAGCTGTCGTCACTTTCGTGAACCTCTGTGACTTTCAGCTGGGCGGGGACTTTGCGCGGACCCAAACTGGGCCTTCCCCCTCTTGGGGGCTGTGTAGTCTTCGCCACTTTCGCGTTCCTTGGAGTTCCATCGGATTGCGGCCCCATGTTTATCCCAAATCAGATTTTGACCTCCCGTTGGGCTGTCAACTGCCCAAATGTCGCCACTTTCGTGGGCTCCTGGGAGCTCCAGCGGAGCGGGGTCTTAAGTGGACCTGAACGAGACCTCTCTCTCTTTCCTTGGGGGCTCCCAGCTGCGCAGCTGCGCAAATGGCGCCATTGGTGTCGAACACGGTGGTTTCATCTCAGCCCGTGGCGCCTCGTCGTCTGTTTAGACTGCGCGACTTCCCCTGTATCCCTCTCCATTTTTCCATCGCGGTGGGTGGCCACATCGACCTTCACTGATTTGGCCGAATGCTCGGGCTTTTTCAGGAGGTGGACTTCGGTATTTTGTGACCCTGCCCTGAGCCAGATTACGAGCACGTGAACGCACGTGCATGACTCGTTGTCGAGGAGCGTGCAACCTCACGCCGCTGGAGCCGGATTAGTTCCGGTGGTCAGTGATCAGAGCTTGTCAAGCCACCAAATATCTTGGTTCTTTATTCGAATAACAGTCAACCCGCATAGTAAGGATGAGCGACTTTCCAAGGTAACTCTTGCATCCTTCCCCTTCGGCCCATCCTTGGCCGCTTTCGCTGGCCGCGACCCGCTCGCAAAGTGTCGACATGGCCTTCCGAGGTCCTTGCATCCTTATCGTATGAGACCTGCACCTGCTTGCAACCTCTTCCCCCGTGCTTTCAGCCTCCCCTCCGCCCTCCTCCCGCTCCCCTCCCCCACTGAGCCAGCAGCGGCCATAGTTGTGTCACTGCCCGAGCGTCTCACTCCAATCCAACCTTCTGCCTTTCCTGCGCCGCAGGTTGCTCAGATCTGTGGACGCTCTGGTGACGCCTCCTGCGAGACCAAGGCGGGGCGGAGCTGGAGAATGGGTGAGGGTAGTTTGTAGCCTTTGCTTCGATTCCAGTGTGCCCTCGGCACATCGTTATGTGGAAGCGTTGCTCGCCCGTGAGCGCGCCCGCCAGGTTCTGCATGCGTGTGGATTGCAAGGAGCCAGAATTGTCCGGGGACTCTGATCAAGTGCTTCATTGTTCTAGAGCGCTGCCAGGCATGCCAGCCGAAACGCGCCGAGAGATGTCCTGCTCTCCGTGTTCTGCTGGTACATGCTCGGTCGGGTAGGTTCGTGTCGTAATGCCGCCAGTGGCCCAGAATCGGCCAATATGGAAGGATCAGGCGATCGAAAGGCCACCGATTGTTCAAGGTTGAATGATCCACGCGGCGCCAGAAACCACCGCCGAGGTCGACACGTCGACACGCCACGAACCTTCCGTACATCCCTATCTCACCCGATCGGCACGTCGGGAGTCGGCGTCACACCGACAGACTAATACTATATGTGCGTCGCCTCCCCAGGGGCGACGTGCGCACCGAGAAATCTTGCAGTATAAGCTCCGCGGTGGGCGCTTTCTGGCCGTACCGCTGGGGAGATGTTTGTACTGCATGGTCTTGCCAGACGCACGCATCCGAGGAGGACGTATAGCACGAGCATGTCCTTGTGCGTCCCTCTGGAGTGTCACGGCCGCCATCACGTCTGGAATGTTTCACGAGGCGCGCGAGGCAACCCTTCTCGCTGGGGTCTGGGGCGCCCAGGCGTGGGCCCCCCTCGCAATCTCTTGTGCCGCGGCCCGGCTTTTGGAACCGGAGTCGACGTTACGTGAAGCGCAGATGCACGAGGAGGAGGTGGAGGAGGAGGAGGAGGAGGAGGAAGAGGAGGAGAAAATCGGAACAAGAGGAGGAGGAGGAGGAGGAGGAGGAGGAGAGGCGGGAGGAGGAAGGAGGAGGCGGAAAAGTGGGTGAAAGGGGAGGCGGTGGGAAGAGCGGGGAGCAAAGAGTCGGAGGAGGAGTAGGAGGAGGAGGAAGAGCCGGGAGTAGATAGGAGGGAGGAGGTAGGCGGGGGAGAAGGGGCAGGAGGCGGGAGGAGGAGTGAGGCGAGGTATGAGGGTGGGGTTGTGGCTGGGAGCAGAGAATAGAGGAAATGAGGAGGGATGAGGAGGAGGAGGAAGATGATGATGATGAGGAGGAGGAGGAGAAGGAGAAGGAGGAGGAGGAGTTGGAGGAGGAGATGGAGGAGAAGCGGGAGGAGGATGAGGGGGGAGGGTAGTATTAGGAGGGTCGCAGTAGAAGGGTAGTAGTAGAAGGGAAGCAGTAGAGGAGCAGAAGGACATAAGTAGTATTTTGTCGTAGTAGTATTAGTATTCGTATTAGTAGTATTTTTATTATTAGTAGTAGGAGCACTCGTAGTAGTAGTAGTAGTAGTAGTAGTAGTAGTAGTAGTAGTAGTAGTAGTAGTAGTAGTAGTAGTAGTAGTAGTAGTAGTAGTAGTAGTACTAGTAGTAGTAATAGTAGTAGTAGTAGTAGTAGTAGTAGTA